ACAAACCTAGACCACTGGGCTGGGCCGCATGACCCAGCAGAGAAAAAAAAAGCCTTGACAAGAGTTGGCCTCTAGAAAACAGCTCCGAGGAAGAAAAGGCACCTGCTATTTGCGATACTTGTGCAGCGGGAAGGGGTGACGGAGCAGGCGACGCGACGCTGCAGCTGCCCAAGCCCTGCCGCAGGGCTGGACTGGAGGGTACGGGGTGGTCCCAGGACATGGGGGAATGCAGAACAGCTGGCAGGTACCAGGGGCAGAGCTGTTATGGACAAGGGGACAAGCCCCCGGGGGCAGGAGGAAGGCGCAGGGCTGTGCTTTTCTGGGGGCGAGGCCCAGGAGGCCAGGACAGGGCCCGGGGGGCGGTCAGGGCTGTGCTGGGCTCCCTCCCAGTTACAGCTGAAGCACCATGCAGCACATGGAGGGGCCAGGGCCAGGGCCAGGGGTCGCCTTCCCTCCCCAGGAGGGTGAAGGGGGCTCAGGGAGGGCGTGCAGCCTGCAGGACGGAGCAAAGCCCCAGTGAGCTTGCTGAAAAGCAAGTGGGAGCCCTGTGCTCTGCAGGGATCGTACCTGGACCCCATCCAGCATGGGACAGGGGAAGGACTGGGATAGGGGCACTGGGAGAGCACCCTGGGGAGCAGGCACTGGTTCTGCAGCACCAAGGCAGGAGGCAGCAACGAGACCCCAAAGCAGCTGTGCTCAGAGGTGCTGTGGAGGAACAACGTACCTGGGGGGGGGACAGGACCCTGGTGCTCCAGCTCCTCGCAGCTGGCCAGACTGAAAGATGCACTGCCAGCCCGTCCTTTTGTGCCATAAGAGCTATGGGTGCCAGGGAGGGGGCAGTGCCCAGGCTCCCTGGGTGGGCTCACAGTGATTTGGGGGCCCAGTGCTTTTGGGCTCCTGAGTCACCTCCACCCCTTGTGTGCAAAGCTCAGCTCTAGGCCAGCACTACACCCTCAGCAAAGGCTGGAGCTGGCCCCTGTGTGCTGGAGGGAGGAGACCCACGGAGCAAGAGTCAGGGCCTGGGGACAAAAGCATCACCTAGTGATTTGAGGAAGGGACGGACCTCCCCTGGACTGCAGGTATCATCACACCCTTGGCACAAACTGAGGCACCCAAGGGTGAAGCAGAATGAGGTGCATGGTGCGAAGACAGCTCTGAACTGTCCCTGCAATGGAGGGGCTGGCAGAGGGGCTCAGAGACCACAAGAAGGGATTTGAGCTATGCAGCAGTGCAAGTCCTGAGTCCCAGGGGAGCACCCCAGCACAGTGCAAAAAGATGAAACAGCTCACCTGCTTCCTCCGGCAGGCAAACAGCCCTCACCATCATCCCTAGCCCCACCTCCACCTTGGTTGTCCACGCCCACGGCCACAATCTGAGCTCTGAAGGGCCAGAGCCCAAGGGGCCGCCCTTGCTAGACCCACCTGCATGTTGGGACCTTGTGCTTTTTAGTGTTTGGGGGAACCTGTCCCACCAAACTGACAGCGTGGCTCAGAGCTGCGAGCCCCTTCCCAAACCCCATTGTGCCAGGGGAACGGGATACAGCGCTGTGTCAGCTCCCCAGCCTCGAGTAGGGGGTAATCTGGGGGCTCCAGGGTTACCCTGGTTTACGTTCAGTGCCTGGGACAGGATCTAGATTCAACTATGTTTTGGGGGTGAAAAATCAAACATCACACACAAGAATCAGCTTCTCTCACAGACCACCCCCCACCCTGGACAGAGGCTTTTACAGCACCAGCTCCCTGCTGCTCCAGGCTGCCACTGAATCACAGCAGGCTCTGGAAAATGGGGACTAGGACCAGCCCATTCCAGCGATGTGCTTTGCATGGACATTTCTCAAACAAGAAGGGCTTCATTGCATCCACAGAGAATATCTGTGAGAGCAGAGGCAGGAATACAGGCTGACCTGAGACTTTCAGAGGTCCCTTTCCATCCTTCAAAGGGACAAGAGGGACCACTTCCAGGCTGCAAATCAATCCAATAACTAACGGCAACACCACCGAGCCTCAGTTCAAGCATCCCACCAGCAACGGGAGCAAAATTTCAGTGTTGCGACTCAGCTGGGGGATCCCACTGCAAAGGTGCGAGCTGGGAGCACAGGGGAGAGCGGGATGCTGGTCCTGCTGTGCTGCCCAGGAGGAGGCAGGGAGGGGGACATGAGAGGCGGCTCAGACATGCAGCGAGGTGGGGGTGAGGCCACGTGTCCCCAGGATGAATTCAAGTGTCAAAGCCATAACAATAACAATAATTAAGAGAAGAAAAACCTAAAAACACAAACTCCCCACCCCATCCCCAAAACAAAACCCAATGATGACAGCACCCAGCTTGCACCGTGAGGTAGCTAAACCAGATCAACACCCGAGAAACGCTCTCCTGCATGGGAAATACCAACCCACACAGATACTAAGACGTACACACACACACACACACACACACACAGAGCTATGCTGGTGAAACCATCTTCCCCCAAGACCCCCCCCTCCAGACACTTGCTGCTCTGCCACAGTACCCAGCTCCCTCCACCTGCAGGCTGCGAAAGCCTTGAAGCCCCCTCAACGTGCTGCTGGACATAGCAGCGAGGTGGATGCTCAGCATCATCCAGGCTTGGCCATTCAGCCCTAGGAAATTAAGCAGCCTACACACAGGAAGAAACTCGTGGCAAAAGGCAAGGCAAGTCTGACCCCAAGCCCCCCAAGAGCAGGTCCCTTCACTGACTTCAGCAAGGAGCAGCGAGGGGCTTCAGGTCAGGCACTGGCAGATCTTGGTGCAGACACTGATGCACATGGTACACCTGGCTACAGCCAGCCAAACACACCCCCCACCCCCCCTCCCCTCCTCTGGCCAAGCAAAGGTTAAACCAGCTGAGGAATAAGCAGGGAAACCCTTTCCAAGACAGGCTTGGAGGGGAACACCTCCTCCAGCCCCCCTACCTCTGTGCTCTAGTCTGTGCTCTCCTCTGGCGGCTGCGGTGCCCCGTGCATTTTTGTTTGCCCCCTCCAGTCCTGTGGGGCGCACAGCCCAGAGCTGCTGGCACCGGCACTTCTCCATCAGCTGTGGCAGGAGGGCTCCTCGCCTTGATGCAGCCGCCGGTCCTGGGCTGTGCCGGGCTCGGCCATGATCATGAGGGACTGGTCACAAAAAAAAGGCAGCGTCACACCCACACATGCCATCACACCCTCCACCAAGGCAAGGCAGCAGGATGGGGTTTTTTCACCTCAGAAGGCAACCCCCCCCCATCAAATCAATAGAGATGCTCCTGCCTTTCAAGATGTGGAGGAGTTCCCACGCTCCACGTGGAATGGTTTTAATGAGGGCTGGTGGCAAATGATCTGAGGCTGGTGCACGGGTCACCATGGTTGGAGAAAGCAGAGGGAAAATGGTCTGTGCTTTATGGGGTAGGTCCTGGAGCCCCTGGGCTCTGAGATCCCAGTTCAGTGCTGGTGGGATCATGTGGAGAAATCCTTAAATTTGAGTTCAAATGCTGCTTCTTCTGTGACAGAGGGGAAGTGAGAGCATGTGAGGCAAGAGCACCACTCCTGGGGTCTCCTTGGCCATCCCATGACAAGCCCTGCCAGGCACAGGGCAGGACGGAGCAGGGGATGGTCAGTGGGCTACAGGAGAGATGGAGGAAAGCTCCAGTGTGAGACCAGGCCCTTGCCAGCCCCTTGCACAGGAGAGAGGGAGGAGGGAGCCTGGAGAAGCTGCGCCCTTGGGGAAACACTCCTGGACAGAGCCCTCAGCCTTTCATGGAGATTGGACTGTGCAAGATCATCCACTGCAGGATTGTCCTTCAAGCATGGAGTGAATCAGGGGACTTGTGCAAGACCAGTGTGTGCAACCCCTTCCTCACCCTGCTCCCGGCACAGCTGACTCCATCCTGTCCCCTCCTCTGGCTGCTCCATGCCTTGCTGGGCCCCCTCCAGCTCCCAGATCCCTGGGGGCCGACCGGCCAAACCTGAACTAGCCCCCTCCCAGATAGAGGGCTGAGAGCAAAGCCTGGGTGAAGGATTTACAGCTTTCAGCTCCTAGTGATGGCAAAACAAGATGGGCCACAGGGATGACAAATCCAGCCTTGGCTTCTTTGCCCTGTAACCTCCATTCTTGCTTTGTTTCTCCATCTCAAGGGGGTTAACATGATGCAGGAATCCACCACAAAACACCTGCTGAGGGCCAAGGTGTCAAGAGCAGGGCTAAGCAGCCCTTCCCTTCCCCACTGCAGGGCAGGGTGGGCACATGGAGAAGAGCCTGAGAGCCGTGGGTCAGCTGAGTTTACGACTGGGGTTTGGAGAATTTCGAAGGGAACTGCAGCAGGTTTGTCTAGAATTTGCCTGACAGAGATCTTCCCAGGCTTGCCGTACCTCCATGGCAAAGGAGCTCAGAGGTGAACACCTCCAATCGCTGGGGACAGGTAGATGGGGAATGATGCAACTACTTGGAAATCCTTCTGCATACCCACACAGTAGAGCGGCTGTCCCATGAGTAACGTTTCCAAAGCAGCAGCCCCTCTATGCTGTGGTCCTGGCCAGCAGACACCAAATGTCCTCTTGGCCATGGAGTGGAGAAAGACTCCTGCAGGAACCAGCCCCGGAGCCAACAGGGACAGAAGAAGCACATCATGGTGGAGGCCACATGAGCCCATGGTGGCAGGAGGGAATTGGGGGTCTCTAAGAAGGAGCTAAGGAGCTCTGACCCCCAGAAGTCCCAGCAGACATTGCAGCAGGGTGGGTGAGAAGAGAGACGAAACATTTCCTGGTCACTGGAAAACCATCAAGAAATCTCAGCAGGAGGTAAGGTGGAGCTGACGGTGCCCCATGGAGCTGCCTCCTCACAGGCGCTGGCAGTGCTCAAAGTACCAGATGGGACATAGTCCACCCCGTTGGGTCAGGCACAAGGAAATCCCTATCCCTGGGCTGAGCTCCTGTAGATGACAGGGTCTTGATAGCAAGGGAGAGGTTACCCCGACCTTCACCCTCCTGTCATGTCTTCCAGTCTTTTTGCAGTTCCTAGTTTGACCCCGTGGGTAACCTCCTCCCGCTCCAGAGCTTCACTGTCAAGTCGCTGAGAAACAAAGGGGAGAGGGATGGCGTGACCCAGGGGTTCCCTCAGGAGCCCTCAGACACGCTGCAGAGAGCCACTGCAAGGAGAAACGCTCCCCACCCCCAGCCCATGGCAGCATGCAGCCCACAAGACTTCCAGGCTCTTTTCTCTTGGCAGGAGGTTGCCCAATCCGTTTTGGGGGGCAGGCAGGCCCAATGGGGCTCAGCCTCCAGCTCACCCCACTGGCAGCAACTGGGGACAAAGGGAAATGGTGACCTCCAGGGCTGACCTCGACAACAGGACTCCTGCACCCCTTGAATGAGCTCTAGCTAGGTCAAAGCAGTGACACCGCAGGGAGCTGCTGTGCTTGGTCTCCCCAGGGCTTGGGCTGCTTCGGGGGTGGCTGCTGACTCCCACCCCACCATCCATGCAAGCCACGGCTTCCACGGAGCTGCCACAGTAGATGTGGGCACTCGGCAATGAAAAAAAAAAAAAAGCAAACCAAAACAACACAGGGGTATGGCTGGGACAAAGGGGCAAGTCACTTCTAGCAAAGATTTATCATCAAGAGGGGAAAAACGCAAAATAGTTTCATACCGTGAAGAAGCAGCTCAGACCAGAGAGAAAGAAAGAAAAAGAGAGATAGAGGAGCAAAAGCAAGCAACAGAGAGAAAGACAGAGGGAGAAAGAGATGGAGAGAAAGAGAAAAGGAAAGAAAAGACAGAAGAGTGCATGAGCAAGAGAGTCAGAAAGAGCAGGAGGGTCAAGGCAGACTAGTAGCACGGCCCTTTATGGCAAGGACGCGTCGTGGAAGGCAAGGGGTGAGCCCAGGCACGTAATTCCATAACTTTACCCGGCAGTCACTGTGGCACAGATGGGAGGTGGGGAGGAGGAGAGACAGAGAGAGACAGAGAAAAAGGAAGGGAGAAAAGGGACATGGTCGAAAAGAGGATATCAGAGTCTTGCTGCCAAAGAGCTCCCCGAGAGCAGCAGAGGATGCCCAGCCCCAGGGGAGAGGGGTCCCTGCGTGGGGGATAACCCGGGACATCACTGGAGCATGGGCAGGGGACAGCCGGGGGAATAGCTCTTGGCACTGCAGTGGGCAGGTCGTGTCATGGGGCAGGCTAAGGTGGGCAAGATGAGATGAAGGAGTGGAGGGACTAGAAAGCTGTGAGACTCCCCCCTTCCCTCCCTCCTTGCTCCCTGTCCACTGAGCGCAAACCCACCCAGGCCCGGGGATGACAGTTCAACCCAGGGGTCTCCCATCTCCCGGGGGCTCTGGGGAGCAGAAAGCCCAGGGCTCACCTGGAGGCGGTGAAGATGTGCTTTGAGTTGGTGCAGATGGCATTGATGGGGCTGTCGTGCCCTTTGATCTCCCCAACTGGGGTGAAGGTGTCCACATTCCAGACTTTGATCATGCCTCCTCGGCAGGCACTCAGCACCATGGGGCGGCCGGGGATGAAGGCCAGGGCACAGACCCAGTCTTTGTGGGCATTGGGGATTTGCTGTAAGTACGGGCACAGAGCGGAGATCATGACCAACCTCATCTGCAGCACCACCAGCAGCCTCATGCACCCAACCTGGGAGGCTCAGATCCTCACTGTCGCCCTGGGGCTGATCTGGATCATGGGACTAGTGATGCAAAGTTAGGAGGCCAAGAGGATGGATTCAAAAGTCAGGGCTTGGTTTGTCCCCTGGCCAGGAGACAACAATCCTGTCTTCAGAGAGGAACACCGTACCCAGCACTGCAATTGATGCTGCAGCCTGTGTGCCCGGGGGAGCTGGCAATCCTGAGTGCCCTACAGCACAAACTTATGGGGGTACAGAGCCACCTCGCACATGCACTGACAGATTCCCAGGAACGGGAGTGCCCTCCCTGGTTAGCTCAGTGCAGGACACTGGCACCAGGTCCCTGAACAAAGGTCCTGCTGACCCCCAGCAGCAATACTCCTCTGCCCCACATTACCCCGAGGACCTGTGCGGTATGTTCCCCTCCAGACCTGTGTAAGTTCCTGCTGCTCCAGATCCCACTTCTTTATGCCATTGTCCCTGGAGCCGCTGAAGAGGATGTCTCCCTGGATGGCCAGGCACTCGATGCCGTCATAGTGAGGGGGCTCAAAGTTGTGAGTGGGGCCAATATTGCCCACCATGCCCTCAGCAATCTCAAACACCTGGGGGAAAAACAGTGGGTGAGAGACCCCAGATGGCACTGGAAACAGAGGTGACCCTCTCTTGGAGAACTTGGCCATCACCCTCCGTTTTCTAGGCTCAGGGCACCCAGAGTGATGCTGGAAAGGGGACTGGGCATTGGCCAGTGGAGGCTTTTTTGGGGTCGAGGTCTTGCCGGGGGTCCTGCCACCATCAGGGGAGGTCTGCCACCATCAGGGGAGGTCTGCCACCAGAGACAGCCCCCATTCTGCTGCATTTTACTCATGGTGAGCTTTCACACACCTTGATGAGCCAAGTTAACAGCTTGCAGCTGTCAGAAGAGTGGGATCCTGCCTCCCTCATCATCTCACCATTCCTCTTGACTCACATGGTGCCAGTTCCAATTCAACCTGCTAAAAACCAGCAAAAACCTAAAAGGGAGGGGCAAGCTCTGGCTGTGCTGGAGCTGTGAACGAGTAGGTGCAAAGCATCTGTATTGGGAAGGAGAATCGAGCAGAACAGGATGAGCTGCTAATCTGGGTCAGCCATAACATGCAAGTACCAGCCACAGAGCCCAAGGGATGAGAGAAATACAAATCCATCTCCAAAGGTGCATTTGTATTATGGACCAAGCAAAAGGCAAGATTTGGGGTGAGGAGATATGCAAAAAACCCACATGCAGAGGTGAAAACAGAAATCTGGACTCAGATTTCAGGAGGAGAGAAGAGACCTTAGGCGTTGCCAATCTGGGCTTCTCTATGGGACACAGAGGTCTGCGCTCTAAGGAGGACAGTACCTTGACGTAGTGATCTTTGGAGCCTGTGACCACCAGGTCATGGTTGCTTGCCGTCTGGTTTACCGTGAGACACATCACAGGCCCGATGTGGCCACTCAGCTTCCCAATGGGCTGCAACCTGAGTTCAGTAACATGGGTCAGCCAGCCCCTTCCCGGGTGCCGAAGCTCCTCCAAGGGGCTCTCCCAGGCAGAGACCCCCACAGCCCTGGAGCCTCCCAGTAGGGGTTGTTCCCTTTGCGGGACTGTGAGCAGGGACACCCCTCTTCCTAGGGATGCCGGGGGAGGAAGGCAGCCTCAGGGCATGTCTACATCTGGCTACAGAGCCTAGGCTGCAAGCAAGGGGTCAGCAGCCCAGTGCCCACCTGGCAGGGAGGGGGACAAGGGCAAAACCAGGGGGGTACTGCTGCTCATCCCACATCTTCCCCCTTCTCCTAGGCTCTGCCCAGCTCACGGACAAAACCCCCACCCCAAGTAGCTCCATTGCTGCTCATCACCTCGGGACTCATAGGAAAGCATCCTGAAAGTCCTTATTCCAGGCAACTTCCATTGCTAAAAAGGCTTTCACTTGCCCTGGTGGGAGTCATTTCAGGCCCCTCTGAGCAGACAGTGTCCACTCAGCATCCATGAGCTGTCCTGCCCACCCCAGCACTACCCCCTCACCTGCTCAGCTCCCAGATGCGGACGGAGTTACCAGTGGCAGCGTAGAGCATAGTGCCAGTGGGGTTGAGAGCAATCTGGTTGATTTGGTGCTCCCCCTGCACACTGGTCACAGTGCGGGTGGTGGTCCCAGCACACGCATCCCCAGAGATCACCTGTCCAGAAGATCTAAGGGAGAAAGAGGTCAAGGGGGGAAGATGAGCAGAGATCAGAGCCACCAAGGCCCCACTGAGGAACCGCATGAGGCTGTTGGCTCCAGGCTGGCACAGGTGGGTCCCACATCAGGGAAAGGCCCTAGAGGTATCACCGTCTCTCTGGACCCAATGGGATCAACAAGACCTTTGTCCCCTAGGCCTGTGCCCTGCCTGCAGAGGGAGCCAAGGATGTCAGGTGTGTGCATGACATGGAGCATCCTGCCCTGGTTTCCATCTGAGGGCTGCTCTTCGCTCCTCCCATTCCTCTTTGCTTCTGGCAGGAGAAGCTGGCTAGTGCTGGCAGTCAGCACAGGGAGGCAGAGGTGTTTGGCCTCTGCACCAAGGGAGAAGCACCTTCAGGCCAAGGTAGATGAGCTGAGGCTGGATGGAGAAAGGAGCTCTATGCTGGAGCGAGCTGGTAACCCACGCCTGCCATACTCTCCTAACATCTGAGCCCTGCTCCAGACCGGCAGACCACAGCTACAGCCTGTCCCATGCTCCTTTCTGTCTTCAAAGTCCTCATAAAGATTTGAGTTTCCCACTGGAGAGCCTGTGATTTACGCAGCCATGATGCTGTTGGGGGCTGTCTCTCCTCTATGGAGCTGCTGGCTCTCTTGGCCATCCCCCAGAAGTAGCTGCAAATCTCTTCAAAGCTCTTTACCCTGAGCCTTCGCTGCAGGAGGTCCCCACGGATCCCCTCACCCCAAGCTCCCTCCCATCCTCCCTGTTCCCTAAGGATGCAGTGCTACAAACTGGCACTAAAGTAGCTGGTACTTGGCCCTGTGTCCCCAGCCCCAGTAGGTCCTGGGACTGGCTTCTGCAAAGCCAGAGATGCCCAGAGTGACCAGGGTCCCCGCCTGCCACATACGTGAGGGTGCGGATGCACCGGGCCGAGTCCCGGATGTCCCACACTTTGATGTACGACGTGGACACAGTGAACACCAGCCCCGTGTGGCTGCAGTACTTGATGGAAACCACGTTGTTTGGGTGACCCTTGAGGGAAGCAATTTCTTGGCCTGTCACCAGGTTCCACATTTTGCAGCTCCGGTCTGTGGGAGGAGGAACATGCCCAAGAGTGTCAAGCTGGGGGGAGGGTCCCTCCGAGGGCATGGTGGCTTGGGGGCAATACCCCTTCTGAGCACACCCCCACCCAGTGCCAGAGGAAAGGAGCCAGCCAGACCCAGCACCGGGGCAGTGCAGGGCAAGGCTCAACGTTGAGGACAGGAGAGAGGCCCAAGAGAAACCATCCCCATAGTGCCCGGCACTTCACCTATTCCCCTGTGCCGACCTGCTCCCATAGCATCTGTAGGCCAGCAACCCCCATGTCCTCTCTGTCCATCACACACCTTTGGACCCAGTGAAAAGCAGCTCGTCGGTGGCGTCCAGGCAGAGCACAGGCTTGGTGTGTCCTTCTGCCACGGAGACGCACTGCAGCGGGGCTGTCCGGGCATTCTTGGTGCCACCCACCGGGTTAATGATGCCCCTTGTGTGGGAAAGAAAGAACAAGCATGGTGGGGTGTGTGTGGAAAGGCACGACACTACACAGTCCCAGGGGCATGGGAGAGCAAAAGCTGCCCCACCCCGAGCATCTTCCACCGCCTAGCAGTGCGATGGGCCCCTCGGTCTGAAACCAGCACGTCTGAGCAAAGCTGTTCATGGAAACCCCGGGAATCTCCCCAGGAGCAGCCCCTGCCTACTGCATCTGCCCCAGCAGTACAGGCTGGGAAAGGAGGGGCTGCCCAGTGGCCTCTGCTC